TCTGATTCGTGCAGTTTTCCGTAGTTTTTGATTAATAAACGATTGATGCAGATTGCGTTGAAAGGTTAATAGAATAAAACAACAGGCTTTTTTTTTGTTATTTAAGAGGTCGTTTAATAACTATAGGTCATTAGAGCACTATTGCTCTGTAAAAGGTATGGTAAGGTGAGTGACAGATAATGATGGATGATGGGGGATAAAGGGACGAAACAACAATCAATCCTAGCCCGAGGGAGAACTCGAAACCTCGAAGCTCGCGATCCTTCGGTCAAGTTCGCTACGTGAATATCTGCTTTTAGGAATGCTCGGCACCGGATTGGAAAATAATAAAGTTGTTGTTCTTCTTGATTTCTGTAAGGATTGCACCACATGCAATACGTCCTGTTCTGGCTTTTCATGACATTATAAACTACTGAGCCAAGCTGCACATAATTTCTCGTGTATTATTTTATAAATTATGGAGATTTAGAATAAAAAACATTCAGGGGATGAAAGGACGAAACACAATACAACCATGCCCGAGGCGGGACTCGAACCCGCGATCCTTCGGTCACCGGACCTTCGGCCACCGGATCGGCAAAAATAAGTTGTTGTTCTTATTATTATTACTTAAGGATTGCACACATGCAATACGTCTGTCTCTGCTTCATGAATTAAACTACTGAAGCCACAGCAGCACATACATTCTCGTATTAAAGACGCGAAAAGACTCATATTTCCAAAAATTTGAAAATGTCTTTATTTCCATATGTCGATCTTAAATATTATTGTTGTAGGAAGACGCCCCAAAAATGTACTTTTGTAATCTCAACGCTTACAAAGGTAAACTAACAAATTTGGTTCTATTTTTGGGAAAAATTTGAAAATGTTTTTGAGGGTTCTCGTTAAGATCCCTCCGAAATCAAAACATTCAGTTGAAACTCCCAAAAGCTTCGAATTCATTTAAATTGATCGGGGAATGTTCATGTTGGAGAAAGTTGGCTGAACGGTTTAGGTGCTAACGTTGACCACAGACGAACGGAATGATGGATGGACGGCGAAACCTTCCACCATCGATCGAGTTGTTGGTATATACGGTATTACGCGAAAATGACGCAAATTTTCGAAACATTGTACATGATATTATTGCATAATCTATCTTTAAGTAACAGATTTCATTAAGGGAAAAAATCTCTATCTTCATAATTGTAGAGAGACGCCGACAAATTTTTGAACTATTGCAATTTTCAAAAAATTGGGGTTTTTAACGATCTAGACACCTACAAAATTTTCTTAAAAGTCCTTCACCTTACGCAACAACAGAATTTAATAAAAAACAATGGAGCCACCTTTTTTTAAATTTGTAAAATTTTCCAGGGGCTTCATGAAAAGCAGCCCACAAAACAAAAAACAAAAAAGTTTAATCAAAAACGATGGAACCACCTTTTTTTTTAATTTGTAAAATGGCCCAAAGGCTTCATGTAAAGTACCCTCCAAAATTAAAATATCGGTTTCAAATTCACGGGGCCGCGACATCAGCCAGATCGAGTACGGAACATCAAATTTGGAGAAATTCGGCTGAACAGTTTAGCCGCTAGGGTTGTTCACAGATGAACAGCAAACAGACGGACCGACGTCTGTTCACAGATGAACAGACGGACCGACGCGGACGCGTCCGTCGCGACGGACAGACAGGCGTTTTGCCGTCAATCAATTTTTCGGTATCAAAGACCCACAAAACGTGGATTCTGGCTACATCACATCTTATAGGATTTCCTCTCCCTCCCTAAATTTAGGAACTGGATTAATTCACTTTTTCGTTATCAGGGCCCTATAATAAGAGGGTTTTTTTTGCAGAAAATTCGCCGTTTTTCGCGCAGCATTTCAAAATTTTCTGTCTACTGCGTAAGTGGTCGCGAGAAACTAAAACACTATGACGTTACTGACGACTCATAGCCGAACTCATTCTGTCAAAGGACCTCTTATTGACTCATTAGTTATGTAACATATAGAAGAGAAACATAATGCATGTTTAATAATCGCTTTTTATACGCATGGTTTTTATTGATAACTAAATAAGTAAATAATTCTGGAAACAGGGTGTTTGTGCTAAAAAAAAAGCTGGAAGGCGGATCTTGGTATGTTTGTCTTTTACCGAATTTCGTATTATACAATGAGATTAGGAAGTAGTGCTTCCCCTAGCATGAATAAATCGATTACGCCACCAATCGGGAAACGGCTAAAATGTTTGTTTCTTCTATCCCTACAACGCAAAAAAGCGACTTCCGTAAAACGTGAATTATGTGTTTTCTTAAATATAGACTAGAGTTACACTGAATTCAAAGATGTCAACATTGAACATTCATTAAAAGCAAGTTGAAGGAGAAATCAGACAAATTAGGCAAAAATCCACAGCTGTGCAACCATGATAGATGAATCGAATCTCAAAACATCAACACTACGACAGGCGATGACACCACGTCTTGATATTATTCGTAAAACCTTCGCCACAAACCCGAAACCTTATCGCCTCAGTGACTTCGCCGGTGAGTCAGATGAGCGGCAAAACGCTGAACCATCAACATCATCTCGATACTTGGGTGTATTTAAGTGGCTGCTGTAACCAGTGTTGCCAGATGGTGTTTAGAGAAGGATTCCACCATTTTCGTTCAGTTTCCGGCCGAAATCCGCTGACTGGTTTTAAATTTCCGCCTAAATTCCGCTAAACGTAAAAAAAAAAATATTTTTCCATATTTAAATTTGTATTATTTATCTATTAAAAATAAAAATATGATCCGAAATATAGTGGCTTGGATGAACCTGTGATTCAATTTTAGATAGTATAGAATGCATTACTTGGTTAGCGTGAAAATTTGCAAAAGAATAACATTTGATTTCAGGTAGTATATAATTTATTGTATAAGTATTATATTATGTATATTCTTGCTAGTTATCATGGAAGTTAGAAATTTTCAAAATATTACATCTGTGCAAGACAATCTTATTAATAGAGGTGTACGAAAACGATGCTTTACAATTTACTGCTTTACTAACTTTATTAATTACCCACCGTTTATTTCGCTGACCGCGAAACTCTTTTTTTTTCCGCCGTACGCAGTTCAAAATCCACCGAAAGAGTGGCGGAATCCGCCGATATGGCAACCACTGAGCTGAACCCTCGCTATGGAGAAAGTAAGCAAGGTGATTGATTTCAGTGCAGGTCGATATGACTACCACAGCACGTGGCTAGTCGCTTATACGCTGCCAGTTACTCTAAATCATCGTCTTAACTGCCTATTAAATTTTAAAAAAACGATAGGTATGAAGATACATCTTTTTGAAGCATACCAGGGTTCATGACAATGCTCAGAGTACTTGTGTTGATTGAAATCGTTGAAAAGATGTCTAGAAAAAACAAATCTTTGTCAAAATTTGAGTTCAACGGAGACCAAAATCATCCTTTTTATCACGTGTTCAACATAATTCCACAAAAATCATCACAGGCGACGTGATTAGCTCTCGCCCAGTGATAGCGTTTCTCAGCACATAAAAAATTAAAACAGATTCAAGAAGAGTTACGGAGGAAAACAGAAGCAGCAAACATTGACATTCAAATACATTGTAATGAAGCAAACAATGACATTTTCATCGTGGTTGTCCTTGAAAAGGGAAACAAAAAGTAGTTTTTAACGTTTCCAAAGAACACGTGTATTGGCACATCTGTCTGCTGGTTGCCGCTATGGCATTACGAGCTCCAGTGTTGACTTGCCCTGTCAGATACATAAACACTTTTATATGAAGTATATACAAAACATAACGTGTGAAGTTTCCTCACCAGTTAAAGCCCATGATGAAATGCTTGTCAAGGGTTTTCCCCTTACAAGTTACATCTACAAAACAAGAAGTTAAGTCTCAATCGTTTCAGATTTTGCCACGTGATATAATATGCGTTAGATTTGGACTTACAAAAATATCTAGATTTCCAGGTTTTCTTTATTTTTAGCTGCACTTGCACTAACACTATTTTACGAATAAACCGTTTGTACGCCTCATAATAACGACTAGTACGTGCATATTTCCAGGTAAGGTGGAGGCTTGAAATGTATTTTCCTTAATATAAATTCTTCAATAACTTATACCTGTTTGGTTCTGAAAAATTAAACTTTGATTGTTTTAATAACTCTCAATTTATAATTAGCAAACCGACTATAATTTCTAAATGACTGAGCAGAATCACGCTCAATTAAATTTATGATTGATTGTATTACCCACGACTGTTCAGATCAGTACGTGT